GAACCACTGAAGCGTCGACCATTTCTGGCCGGCAACTTTCAGCGTCATTAAGCCGCTGCGCAGAACTTTTGCAGCCTAATCAAGAATTTGGAAATGATTTATTGTTTATTCTACTATTCCTGGGCCCGAGTCCTCTTAATGCATCTTCCAATGCACTTATAGATCATACCACTGGACTTTGATAGTATGATTTGGAAATTTTTTGCAATTTTTTTGCAAATAAAAAAAGCAGAAAGTTTGTTATACCATTAATTTTGCCCCTTAAAACTCAATAAGCCCCTTTACTCAATATTTAAAATGACCAACACATACCAGTGACCTCACCAAATCACTGGTCCTCTGAGCCAAAAGAATAAAGAATAGATCAGATGTGCCCCACCTGTGAAATTACCTTTGGACAAGGTAAGCACCTGATAAAGGCATAGTTACAATGGCTAGTTTGAAAGTTACCTTCTTACCTAGCAGCCCCACTTCTCTGTCTCTTACCGTGACTACTTTTGGGAGGTTTCACTGCGTTGTACAGATTCTTCGGAGGACGAGCTGAACCATTGTCTTGGAAGTTAGAGTTCATCACAAGGCTGTTGTTGCGCTCAGAGCATGAGGTGGTGCCTGCTTGATGCCTGAGAATGTCAACCAAAGCTCTGGCCAGAAAAAGAAGCCAAATGTTCATGGAAGGGAAATCAAAACATAAATACAAAGTATACACGTGGGTTCAGTTGAGGAACCTAGAACATGCATTTCATCATCTGCGTATTTATGGGAAATGGTTTGACCAAAGCTTTCCAAAAGGTGCCTTTCATATTCCCAGTGTGAATGGGATGCAGCAAGCAATCACGTTGTTCAATATATCTAGGGAGCACCAGGTTGTGGAAACATAGTGTAGCAAGATGGTGTTGCGTCAAAAATGCATGTTCAAGGCAAGTTTTAAATGAAAATAAATTCAAGGGCTAAGCCCTTCTGCGTCTAGCACTGTGTCCAGTCCTAAGCATCCCATAATAGCTTCAAAGAATGGCAATGCTTTTGGTCAGGGATATAGAAGGCAGGTTTTTTAAGGGAGTATAGTTAGCCTGGAGACCAAAAGATGAGGAAGGCAGGTCAACAAACTTCAAAATGTGAAGAATTGTCCCATAGAAGAAGACAAAAACTTGTTCTCTGTCCTCCTGAAGAAGATAGATTTTGAATGAATATAAAGAAACAAATTATCCAATCCCATTGTAACATAGACCAGTTTGTCTATTATCCTCATCATCTCAGAACCTATAGTTATCAAACTTATCTTCTAGAGCAGGGTTCCTCAACCTTGGCCACTTGAAGATGTGTGGACATGCTGGCTGGGGAATTCTGGGAGCTGAAGTCCACACATCTTCAAGTGGTCAAGGTTGAGGAACACTGTTCTAGAGAACACTTTCATGACGCCTTATATTCTATCACAGGATTTTTGCCACAGAACTTTGGACATCTTGCAGAAGATTCTGGGGAATTTTCTAGCAAACCCATTCAGCTTACAAAAAAATTGTTGGGCTTTGCTATCATCTACTAGGAGGTCTAACCATTATTAGAGAATGTGTATATATTCCCCAATTCTCTGCCATCTAGATACATTCAGGCGCAACTTCACCAACAGTTATGTAGGATGATACCATTTGCAATCCAATACATCTCAAGAGTGTCAGATTTTGCCCTTGAACATATCAGTACTCTCAACCCTGCTTCTCTGAGCCTATAGATTATTGCTAGACCTTGGTGTTGATGGTTCGAGGTGACTTTAAGAGAACCTTAAGGCAACCAGCATGTATGAGTGGAGACATAGAATTAGTGCCTTACACTAATCTTTTATGACTCTATTACCTATCTGATTATTTTTCTCCACCCAAAGGGTAGCTGTAAACATTTGTATAGCCTACTTGGGTTGAATATTAGTTGCTACACTTGCTGGAATCCAGCTTGTCCTATTCATGCCAATCTCTCACACCAGCAGCTGCATTTGCACAACTTTTGTTCAGCTAATTTAACCTTGATTAGGGTTTGTTTTTGTTTTATGGTTCAACATGTTATGCAAACCCAGCCAGTTTGGTTAGGATATGATTCAATGTATTATGGCAACCTAGAAGTGGGTTAATTCAATAATCAGTGTAAGCACATTCTGTGAACCCAGCCAGCCTGACTCTAGAATTATTCCAGTTTTGGTCTTCATCTACCTGACGTGGGATTAGCTATCCAGCCCACTCAAGGGATCACACCCCTTTTGCTTCTTTGTTTTTTATCTGTTCCTTCCAAAATTGGATTTAGGCTGCACTCTGCCTTGGAGCCAGGTCTATCAGTAGCTAAGTTTATACATAACACTGCTTTTTCAGGGGCAGATTTAGCAAATCGCATGAATTTAACCATTGTGCTCTGTAAAAGATAGCCTGGTTTAACACGCAAGCTCTCTAATTATCATAGGTCAGTAAAACATAGTTTGAAATCTGGTGATGCATTACATAACCATAGCCAATGTATTGGTATAACTGGAACTTTAGACAAGCATTCCCTATTAAGCACTTTTATGCTCTTTTTCCCTTTTTGACAACGTATGTATCTCCATCATTATTATCATTGTGTTTTGCTCTTCTTCTTTTTCTTTTGTTATTGATCAAAAAGCAATTAAATACATATTTAAAAAAGACAAATATGCCCTGTTTACCTGAAGAGAACACTGGGTGATATAGGCAGTCTTCTGTGGATCTCAATCAACATTTCCACATAATCTCCGGGGGGAGTACAATAAAATATGAGAAGCCCATCTATAATTTACCTACCATAGTCTGCTGCACATTGGAAGCAAACCTTTGCTGAAAAAGGAGGGAATTTTGGGGGAGAGAAGGATTAGCTCCCTCCCCTATTATTGTTTTAATATGAAGTGAGGGGCCTCCACATCTCTGAAAGAGGCATGGTATTTATTAATTTAATATTAGTTTTACCCTTAGGCCATGAAAAACAAAATGCAGCCAGGAGTAGGTAACTTAAATACTATAATGGTCTGTGAGAATAACCTCGAGGAAGAGGAGGAAGAGCCACAGACAAGGCAACAGTCAGATAAGAGATATCTCAGCCCAAAGGAAGGAATTTGAGAAAGCGTCTCAGACTTGACCCTAATTCATTTTGGACTCAGATTTCTCTTATCTGACTGTTGCCTGGGCTGTGGTTCTTCCACCTCTTCCTCAAGGTTATCCTCACAGACCATTACAAATACCTTGGATGGTGGAAGAGACCATAGCTCTGAGACAGAGCACATACTTTGAAGGCCAATTGTCTCAAGCCCATCAAGTATGTGATGAAAGAGATAGCTCTTTGAGTTCTTGAAAAGCTACTGCTAATGAAAGTAGAAAATATTGGTTTCCCTAAATTAGGCAGACAGGCTGCCCTGGAATAGGCTGGTTTTCTTCCATTTGCATCTAGACTTAGCAAGTTAAAATACATCCCATTGAACTCTAATCTGGAGACAGACCAGATCTGGAAGCAACTCAAGGGTAGAATCCAACCCCCATCCATGGGTCAGAAAACTTCTGGGTCCCACTCTTCAGCCTGTATCTTTACCTGGGCACATTGAGTTCTCTCCCGTGGGGTCTCCTGGAGGCTTTGCTGAAAAAGAATTTGATCCCGACTCCCACAGCTAAGGTGAAGCTGATGACGCCACAGATGACGTACACGGTGCTGTTGCTTGGCTGCTTGCTCCCATTGGGTACATCGGGCCCATTAGTGGCTGTGCCAGCAATGGTGGTAGCAAACCACTGTGGGCTGTCACGGCACTTCCCTTGCTCCAGCCTCCTGGATCGATCATCACAGCAGAACCGGTACTGGCAGGGGCCGCAGCAGAACCGGTAACCCCCAGTGGTACAGTTGAAGGCAGCATCGTATTGCCCCATGACGTCGTAGTAGCCTTGGCATGTTTCAGAGGGCCGGGCTCTGCTGCTTGTGCTAGTGGTTGTGTTAGAGTTTGGTGACGTCAAGCGCTTCAGATGGGCCAAGAGGTTGGGCAGTCCCCAACTCTGGTTTGTATAACGCGGTGCCTGAACTACAGCTAAGGCCGTGTGCCCAGCCAAGGCTTCGAGGGATGCGTAGAGCATGACCATCAGCAACTGATGCATGATGGGTAGAAGGTATGGAGCTGGGAAGCTCAAGCCACGCTGGCCAATGTTGTTGGGCTTTTAGAAAGTGTATAAAAGAGATCAAGGAAGCAAACCCTATAAAGATAAAGAAAAAAGTGTTTAAAAAAAGCCCTGCAGGATAAGCGCAAAATGCCCCCCACATCTGATACTGACAGCATGTGTTAGCCTTCCCCAACCTGTTGGCTTCCAGAAATCTTGGGACTCAACATCCCCAAAGGCCATGTCAGAGGGCATCAGGTTAGAGAAAGCTACTGTAGAGCCATCAGGACCAATTGCTGATGATAAACCTGTCCCCCATGGAGTTTTCCAATCTCACATCTTTCTTAAAATTTATGCTGGGTTCCCTCAACCTGGGATCACCCAGGACAAGAGCTTTAGTCTAACAAATCTGAATGGCATCAGATTGGAATGGCTGATCTCAGCTCATAGCCAGTATAGCAACTCTCAGCAGCAAAGTCCATAATTGAATATTTCAGCTGGTTCATGCTTTACAGTTTTGCGTGAAATGGTTGATTTGCTTCTGGCTTACCATGATGTATGAATTCAGTTGCTGTGGCTTATGGTATATGTGAATCAAGCTACTAGGACTTATTCAACAAATCACAGTTTTAAAAATTGATATAGCATGAAGTAGGAATGTAGTTGTGTTTCTGAGGAGCATCTGAATCTTCTAGTTTCTATTCCACTGGGAGATCCTACCAGACAATGTATTGATTTCTCATCCTATCTCTCCACCTAAAATAGCACTCAAGGTGGTCAACAAAGTTATCATGAAAACATTATAATTCAAATTAAAACTTTTCAGTAAGAAAAGAATTGCGCCTACCAGAATAAAATGGTATCATTTTAAAATTAAATTAAATGTATTTCTATACCACTCTTGCTCCCAGAGGAGCCCAAGACATTTTACAAGAGAATTTAAAAAATGTTTTAAACAAAATCATCTCAATAAAACCAATGTTCTTAAAATTAAAAAAAAAATCGGAATTCATCTTCAAAAATAGAAAAGCTAAACCACTGCCCATCTTTAAAAGTAATCTGATTTTAGACCAGTTGTTATTTCACAAATGCCTTGATGAACATGGCTCTCTTTATTTCAGTAGAAAGTCAACTCAGGCATCCGCAAACCTGAGTTGACAACAAACTCAACAAACTCATTACAAACTTTGGCAACATTCTGCTGAAGAAAAGGCAATATAGAAGGAGTTATCCTGGTTTGTCTTGGCAGGGAAATTCAGAATCTCGGGGCATACTTTGTCATATCTACATACGACATATAGATATATCTCACAATAACTAAGTTTTATTTGTTCTGAGTAGTAAGAAGCAATATATTATGTTTTTTCCTTCTAAGGAAGTGTTTGTAACCCTCTTAAGTTATTTGTGTTTGAGTTTCTGAAGAATAATGCTGAAAATATTGGGGGGGGGGGCAGAAGCAAGGGAATTCTTATTTTTCCAAGATTTCGTTTATTGGATCATATATATATAATATAATCCAATATGTTTTCAACACTCTTAATGTTGGATATTGTTGGGTTATTTTGCTAACCTCTTCTCAAGCCATATATTCAGTCACTTTGATGTATTAGAAGAAAAATGGGTGACTGAGATACATGTCAACATCAGCTGGTGGCTGAAATACATGTCAAATCTAGCCTAAGAGCCAAAGAAATTGACATCCAGAAGGTTCAAGATAATATCCCTGTAATTCCTGTTCAACCTGACCATTTGTAAATAAACTGATCGTTCCAAGACACTACAGATTTATGTGCTCTCTCACTCTCACTCTCATTCAAGAAGAAAATATGAATCGGTACAGACTCCTTGACATTTTCTATCACCTGGAGAAGTGAATGTTGGTCCCTGCTCTCCAATTTCTTTTACTTCACCACCCTGATTAATGCAACTGTATATACAGATTCACTTCTGGCAAGTAAGATTCTTGGGCAGATGTTGGCTTCCTCTCAGGTCAAAGCAGGATGCTCTGAATGAAGCTCTTGAGCCATGTAGTTGAACTGACATCTTCACTCCATCATTGCAATCTTGGGATAGGAACCCATGATAAGAGCCCTGCCAATCTGAAATTAGGCTTTTCCGTATGTTCTAAACATTCCTATTTAGCAGGGTTATTGTTATTATGCGTTGCAATTATTATTGCTATCCCTGATTATTTGTCCTTGGTAAACCGTAATCCCCTAGGATATCCAGTTTATACATTTACTTTGCAGTTTTATGCTGCTCCTTGCCGAGGGCTCCAAGGGGCTTATAAAATAGAGTGAAATAATATGAGAATAAACTCCAACATCAATCAATCAATCAATATAACATTCTAAGAGGCCTGGTGAAAAAAGTGTACTTTCACACACACGTACATGCACACATCCTGAACCCTATACTGAGGAAAGAGTCTGCTTGAATGCCATCAGGAATTTGCTCCATAATATAGCTCCCACTTGAGGGGAAATAAAGGAGAATTAAGTGCAGATATGAAACACATCCATTTATTCAGTGAACCACAAACGTGCTGGCCGTTTGAATGAGCAAGGAAGTGGGTGCACAATACTGTAAGTGCAAAGGAATTCTGAAGTAACATTACAGGGTCTGACATGGCCTGACATTCTACAAGCCCAGTTGCTGCTAAGGTCTTTTTTTTTTTAGTTGCAGTTGGAAACTAGCTTGTCATTGGTCATTATGGTTATCAAATATATCTTTAGCTGAAAGCATAAATGATTTCCTGGCTTTTAACCGAGGAGGAGACAGGCTGCTGCAAATAAAGTAACACGGCACCGGGCAGCAAAGTGGAACTTGAGCAATGGGAGGATTGGAATCAGAATTGGAGTCTTGCCAGCATCTCACTTCTTTCCCTTCCAGCCAAAGGACTACATTTCCAGTTTTCCCCAGAGTTTCTCCCACATCTCCCACACCTCCATTTCCCTGACTTTTAAGTTTTGGCAGGACCCTTTGAGACATCTAGGGCAGAAGATCCATGGGAGCCCACCCCATTCTCATTTTTTTTCCTCACCCTAGCCCAGTGTTTCTCAACCTTGTCAACCATAAGATGTGTGGACTTCAACTCCCAGAATTTCCCAGCCAGCATGCTGGCTGG